TAAAAAAAAAAAATCTCTTATTATTCTTATAGTTACGAATATTTTCAAATTATATAGGCTCGTCTCTTAAGTTTTTCTAAAGGCTTAAAAGACCACCCGTTTATGTATTTTTGGCTCCTTCTAGTCTAAATTTACGGATACGTTCAAGGTTCGCTGGAACCTAAAACCATCAAAACGATCGCTTTAAATCCTAATAGCGTGTTAAGTGATATAGTCTTAATAAAGACATCTAGCAATTGCGGAGTAGTCTACGATAAGCACAAAATAAAATTGATATCAAATTGCAATTTATAATTTTTGTAGATATTTTTACCATTTTTGTGGTACTTTGCGATTGATCCTAAAATATTAGGATTGATTGCAAGTTATCATAAAAGTAAAACACCCACAAAAGTTATGAATTTTTTTGTTGTAAAATGACTCATAAAAATTTTAAAAACACCCAATAAAACTATAAAAATTGGAGGTATGATACCCATTTTTTTTTTCTCCCAGTACCGTAGTCTTCTCCAACAATTGCTACTCCAGTAATGATCCTGTGGACTATGGAGAGGCACGCAACTGTGCTTCCTCACTTCGCCAAGAAAGACACTTCTTATTAGGTGAATGGCGTTCTACAGGCCTACGTTTGTTCCGCGGGAATCTCCGACTTTTTGGCCGTATCTTGCTCCTTCGGTCGTTCTTTCATTTTCATTGCTCCATACGAGTAAAAGTGCAATGAAATCAGCTGCTGCCTATGATTGGATGAGGACAATTTCGAACCAATCACTTTGTCGTTGCTTAAACCTATCACGCCAATGAATCATGTTCAAGAGTTAGACACTCGTAATCATAAAGTATTGATAACTTCCATTCATAACGTATTGAATAATTGCGTTTTGAATAATAAAAAAATCCAAGTTTAACCTGTGTGTAATTTACAATGCTGTCATTTATCCGAAATTTGTGTTATAATCATAAGTTCAGATACGCATACGTGCGACGATTTCCCAGTCACCAAAAAAAAAATTAATAATACTGACCATGACCTATTGTTTCACAAGAGTACAGAAGTTCAGGTATAAGCCCCTCCCCCTCCCCTCCCCCCCCAACCCACCATACACACACTAATCAGAATAACTGTTAACTGATTTGTGCTACCTTGGAGAGTTCTAAATCAGAACATTTTGCAAGGCACGTAGGAATCTACCATTATCAAGAGAAGATTAAGTTACACAAAATCTGTGTATAAAAGCCCAACCATGCATGCATGCCTTTAGGCATTGTGCTATACACAAATTCACTTCAATCTTCTTAGTACCATGGCTTCTATACACCAGTGCTCATATTTGTGCCTAGCCTTGCTCATCCTATTCGGAGTTTGGGCTTCTCAAGCTTCCTCTCGCCTTCTCAATGATGAGCAATCCATGTCGGACAGACACGAGCAATGGATGGCTCATTATGGGCGCGTTTACATAGACATAGAAGAGAAGGATAGACGTTTTTCTCCAATCAACAAAAGTATTGTTGTACATGTCTTTTTTTTTTTAAATCGTATTGCATATTTAAAGATTCATTAAATACAAAAAGATCAAACGCCAATATATGTAGTTTATAAAAACAATACTAAAAAAAAAAGGCTAATTATAACCCTTTGTGAAAATGAGGTTAATTACAACCATGTACTGTGGACCTTGATAACTTTTCATACTTTGAAAATATTGTACGATAATGTTATTGTATGATAATGTTATTAATAATGTTATTGAAAATATCTCTCTATATAAATAATTAAGTTAATAGTAATCAATTTCAAACAAAGTCGCATCAAATTTAAAAAATTATAATAATTTCAAACAATTATGAATAGTATAAGATGAAAGTTATTGAAAAAATAGATTCAATCACTAGTCGCAACTTTTTAATATATTTTTACCTTTCTTTAAGTGAAAAGTGTCCCCATTATTTTTTTTGCACAAGATTTAATTGGTTCAAATTTATTAGAATGGTCAAATATTTTTGATTTTTCATCATGAAAGTCGGCCTAATTCCAACTACCTAATAAAAAATCATACATATACAAAGGTGAAATTTTTAATTTTTTTTTTTAGGGTGGGTATGGTAGCTATGTCCCTCCGCCCTTGCCTACATTCATCTCACTAATGAGATAATCAGTTGGTCCAGATCAATTCAGGTTTGTTTGGATAGGCCCTATCTATATAGATTTCTTCGGCCTAATGTTAGGCCAAAATTTTTATTTTTTTAATTGATTTAGGTGAATTATAATATGTTAAAATTTTGATTTTTTAATAAGTTTGGGTAGATAATCGTGTGCTCAAATTTTTTTTGTTTTAAATGGGTTTAATTTTTTAATTATTTTGAAAAAATAATGTAGGCCTAACATTTTTATCTTGGATTTTAAGTGGGCACAAATAATATATTATACAAATTTATAATATATATACTTAACTAGTAAATTTTTTTTTTTAGGGGGGCACTTGCCCAACCTGGCCCATGCTTCCCTCGGCCCCTAGTTACACCCTCTCCATCAGGTTAAATTTTTGGAGTAGAGGGCTGTTTAACAAAGAGACCTTGTGTACCTTGCTGTTACATAAGAAAGCCAACTGTTCTTAAATCAATTGTTTCTTGTTCTTCTTCTTATGTTGCTATGATTTGTAGGGTGTTGCTGGTCATTTTCAGCAGTGGCAGCTATGGAAGGCATTACCCAACTCACAACTGGAAAGCTAGTATCTCTATCCGAGCAAGAGCTTGTGGACTGTGATGTTAGAAGTGATGATCAAGGTTGTCAAGGTGGTTTGCTGGACACTGCCTTCCAATTCATCAAACAAAACAAAGGGCTCACTACAAAGTCTAATTACCCATACACCGGACGGACTTGTAATACCAAGAAGGCAGCTACTCCAGCAGCCAAGATAATTGGGTACGAAGACGTGCCATCTAATAGTGAGAAAGCTCTATTGCAAGCAATTGCAAGCTCTATTGGTTGTATTGCAAGCAGTTGCAAATCAACCAGTCTCTGTTGCCATTGATTCTGGTGGATATGATTTCCAATTTTACTCGAGCGGTGTCTTTACAGGGACATGTGACACACAGCTTGACCATGGTGTCACGGCAGTTGGGTATGGTACTACCACTGATGGGACTAAATACTGGCTTGTGAAGAATTCATGGGGCACAGGTTGGAGTGAGAATGGTTAGGTAAGGATGAAAAGAGATGTTGCTGCAAAGGAAGGCCTCTGTGGCATTGCCATGATGGCTTCTTATCCCAACACATGAAAAAAAAAAAAAATTTGTTGGGTCGTATTCTACTCTTATTTATAAATCTCGTGTAGTTTAAATATGTAAAGAGTGTGTATATTATAGATGATTTNAGGCCTCTGTGGCATTGCCATGATGGCTTCTTATCCCAACACATGAAAAAAAAAAATATTTGTTGGGTCGTATTCTACTCTTATTTATAAATCTCGTGTAGTTAAAATATGTAAAGAGTGTGTATATTGTAGATGATCTGTTTTTAACCAAACTTGAGAGGAGATTAGTTAAGATGCGTACATAAACTTATTCGGACATCACTGACCGTTGTAAAAAGAAAAATTGTGTATTGTATNTTAACCAAACTTGAGAGGAGATTAGTTAAGATGCGTACATAAACTTATTCGGACATCACTGACCGTTGTAAAAAGAAAAAAATTGTGTATTGTGTCATATTCCAAAGTTTAGGAAGGAAGTGTATAAGGATGAATTAATTACTTAAAATAGTATTGTGTCATATTCCACAGTGTAGCAAGGAAGTGTATAAAGAGGTATTAATTGCTTATATTAAGTGTGACTTTACTTGTTTCCTCTTGCCATGTTGTATCTAAGACTTTATACCTTTTAGTCTTTCTTGGCATCCTTGAAGTATAGTGATGGATTTGTGCACTCTCAAGAGGAAAGGAGTATAGACTCTAAAGTCGTTGGCGTCATATTATGAACAAGATCACCACGAAAACTTAGGTGGCTCGGTTCAAAAGTGTAAGTCTGCCTGCAAAGCGCAAAGGCTAAAGTTCACTATTAGCAAAAGAAGTTACACAAAGTTCTCACACGAAGAGAAATAATACAAAACTGAGCATCAAAACTGGTTTGGGGAGACTGATTTTTCCGACTTGGTGGTGGAAAAGGGAAGAAAACATGATTGCGAACTACACTAGATGATAAGCAATTAGATGATCTAAGAAAATAAATCAAAACACATCGAATTGGATAAAATCTTTTCCTCGATAAACTTGGTAATTGAGGCACTATCCAACAAATCTCTACCTTGACGAAAAATTTTTTTATCCTTCTCCTTGATTTGTATTTTCTAAAACCATGGAAGCAAAAGATTTCTTCTCCACTAATGAATAAGAATTAAAAGAGTTGAAAGGAACAAATTCCTATAGGATTTATTTCATACCCATATGAAAATATGTCTTTTTAGGTTAAGACTATGCATTGAAGGAGGAAAGACACCCAAGGTTACAATTTTTTTTAGATTTAGTTACAAGTTTTTCGATCAAATTATAGCTACATGGGATCACGTTACAACAAAAAATAGTAAGATTGACCCCAAATATTTTGTTATAACTTGACCTAAACAAATGTAATATAACCGAAAAAAATTATAAATTATTTTCTAATATAAAAAAATAATTTTTCGAAATTATAGTCTTACCCGTCTTTATCACCCATTAGAGTCAGTGAAATAACATCAGCACAGCCAAATATGGTCCAAACTGAAGACTAAAATGATGTCCCTAACCTATTGTCAATCTTTTGCTGATGTTTTTCAAGGAAAATCTTAATTGGACTTAAAATATTATCTTGATTTGTCGACTTAATCAATCATAACTATTGAATGGGTAGTGGATTCCAATAAATAGTGAGACCCACAATTAAATTAATGACAGTGATGAATCAAGTCAGCATTATGCAACATTGTTTTTTCTTGAATAAGTTTTAACTTTTACTTTCGGATTTGTGTCAACGGTGAATAATTATTGTGAAGGATCTACCTCTCTCTTACCGGGGATATACCTCCTTCCAAGAGTTATCCTCCCCATTACCAGGGATATCCCGTTCTCCATCAAAGGATTTCGGCTAACCTGCGGATCAAACCCCCACAGTAGCCTTTACCTCTGTCCCACATCGGGGAAAGAGTCGTCTCCCCATCCCTATATAAGCCGAAGCACCATATGAGAGTAGTACCCAAGTAGCGCCTTTTATGTGAAGGATCTACCTCCTCTTTACCGGGGATATACCTCATTCTAAGAGCAATCCTCCCCATTATCGGGGATATCCCGCTCTCCATCAAAGAATTTCGGCTAACCTGCGGATCAAACGTCCACAGTAGCTTTTACCTCTGTCCCACATCGGGGAAAGAGTCGTCTCCCCACCCCCATATAAGCCAAAGTGCTCTCATATGGTGCTTCGGCTTATATGGGGGTGGGGAGACGACTCTTTCCTCGGTGTGGGACAGAGGTAAAAGCTACTGTGGATGTTTGATCCGCAAGTTAGCCGAAATCCTTTGATGGAGAGCGGGATATCCCCGATAATGGGGAGGATTACTCTTGGAATAAGGTATATCCCCGGTAAGGGGGAGGTAGATCCTTCACAATTATTATTTGATTTTAAAATGAAAAATTATTCAATCAGTATTGGAAAATAAAATTTGCTACTTTTTTTTTTGATGTGATATGTTATGAATCTTTACCAAATTATATTCTCTCTCTTTACATATTTTTGCTAGCTTATGAACTAATTAAGAGGTGATTTTTACATTGTGGGGGACCCATGGAAGTTGGTGGCAGGTTTGGTTCAAAGAAAAATGGGTCATTGTCATGAGTTTTTGTTTCACAACATATACCTCTCAATTTGAATATGACATATTAATTGAAATTGTTAGAATTAGTGTCAGATTGTCATAAACCATTAATCAAACAAATCGATTTAGAATTATCTAACATTTGATATGAGTCATAAATGACATCATTCAAATACGACATGATATGACTTGATTGATAATCGGTCCTATAACATCCCTTTGTAATCTTTTTTCTCAACATACATTAGAGCATAATAATTTCTTGAATTTTGTTTATCTTTTGGCTTCCAATGAATACCGCCTATTGACCTCTCGAGTTTAATCTAGTCCAAATCCCAATCTAGTTAGAAACTCGTATCCAAATTTGATCTGGATCCTTAAACGAATTTCATTTTTTCCTTTCAAATTCGAATCTAATACAAATAGAAAATTCGACTTAAAAATTTGATTCAATCTGAATTTTAATTGGATTGAGATACAATTGAACCACATATTGTTATATCTAAATTTTATATCACTGAAACATAACATAATAGATTCAAATTTGAATAATCAATCAAAAGTCTTATTCAAATTGTACTTGAATCAAAATTTTATTTATTGAAAAACCTACCAGCACCACAAAAAGAGGGAAAGGAATCCATCCAAAATATAAATATTCTCTCTCACGTCTCCTTTTAGGTGGTGAGAGTAAGTATTTGTACAACGATACCAGTATTTTATTGTGATTTGAACATTAAAGGATTGAGGCATAGAAATAAACTTGCCACATGAAAGGGTAAGATTGGCATATATTTAACCCCTAAACTTTCGGTAATAAAAGTCTTATACACTGGATCATTTTTTTTAAAAAAAATTGGTATTTTACCTCCAACTTTTACTATTTTAATAGGTGTTTTCATAATTTTTGTGAGTCATTTCACAACTAAAAAATTTATCATTTTTTTTTGAGTTATTGGGTTAATTATTTTTATAATTTTTTTTGGTACAAAAAAAAATCATCACTTTTATGAGTGATTTATCACTTTTTTGTTATTTGTATCGCTGTTGTGATAACTATTTTTATTATTTTTTTAGTACTACAATAATGATAAAAACATCCACAACAATCCTAAAAGCACCCAGATGTTGTAAATGAAGGTACAATACCAAAATATATATATATAGACAACTTCCTCTTCCTATGAACTATTATTTTTGTTTTAAATTGTTCTCTAAATTTTTAATTGTTTTAATTTGCTCCCTAAATTATATAATTTCCTTCAATCAATTCATTCCGTTAAGATAAATCGATAAATGAGATAAATTAACGATTAATCTTAATAGAATTTTTCTCATTAACGGTTAATCTTAACGAAATCTGTTTTATTTAATGATTAATATTAAAAAAAGGGGTCGATTGAAATAAATTACATAGTTGTGGATAAAAATTAAAATAATTAAAATTTTAAGATGCAATTTGAAATAAAAAGCATAGTTCAGGGGGTATTTATGCAATTTACCCAAACAATTACTTCAAAACTGAGGTAGAGCCCAAAACAAATCACCTCAAAAGTTACTAGCCCACGACCATTATTTCTGGGCTCCAGCAAGCCTAGTCACAAAAGCCCAATAAGTCCACTATACAGGCCGATTGATCGCCCGACTTCGCTTAAAACCCGAAACGAATTAGTCGGGTATGAATTAATATTTTGAATCCATTATTCAAATTTAAATCTTAACATATTTAATAATTCAAACTTACATATACTAATATATATATAATACAATTGCACTCTGCTCCAAAATATTTATATACACAAAAAAAAATATATAAAAATACAATATGAAATTAAGTTAAAAGTAAGGTATATATATTAGGAGCGGATTACCGGGTTTTCGATTTCAAACATATTTGAATTCTAATTCGAGGTTGGATTTGAATTGGAATTTAAATTCTAATTAAATAGAATTAATGGCCTAATCTGACGTAAATTTATAATATACATGACATGGACTAAACCAAACCAGGTCTTGCAGATGGGGCCCGCTGGGGGTCTGTGTCACAATGGCGGCTTTTTTTTTTTTTTTCGTCAACGGTCATTGATGTGTCGTGCCGTATACCGGCTACCTTGTCTCAAGAAATTATTAAAATTTATGTTGACGGAATCAAGACAAGACTGTATTATAATTAAAAAAAAATTTTGGTAGAATTTCTAAAATTTTAAGTAAAATTTACAAACTTTATTGAAAACTTGCACCCATTGAAAACTTGTTTAAAAATTTAGGAATAGTTTCATATATGAAAAATGAAATGNAAAACTTGCACCCATTGAAAACTTGTTTAAAAATTTAGGAATAGTTTCATATATGAAAA